GCCATTTCATATTGGAACTAGCCTGTGTAGGCAATGAAACATAGACGTGCTATTTTGACATTTTATTAGATGGTTTTCAACAAAAAGGACTTCGGCTGCAAATTATAAAACTCAAATATTGGGTTGATAGATTGGGGACTAAATGATCATTACAAGAAAAAAGGCTTTTTGCAACATGTAAACGGTAACATTTTTTAATTGCATGTTGCTAAAAGAAGTCTATTGCAACATTCAGCAAATGTATGTTGCCATTGGGTTAGTAAATTAAGATTTAACAACGTTGATTGAATGAATGTTGCTAAAACATCCCTTTGCAACGTTCATAGACAGTTTTTTTTTTTTTTTTGCAACGTGCATTGACCGTTGTTGTAGATGTTTTTAGCAACGTTCAAAGAATGTTGACTTCATCTACTTTTTGCAATGAGCAATGAACGTTGCTATATATGTTTTGGCAACGTTCATGCGAACGTTGCAGTTAATTAGTTCAACAACTTGCATTGCACGTTGCAATTATATGTTTTAGCAACGTTCATGTGAATGTTGCGGTTAATTATCTTTGGCAACATTCTTTGAACGTTGTTATTAATTAAAACTTACAAAACCCAAACCACACGACCCGACCCCGATACTTTGGAAAAAAACTCAATTTCAGCTCCAAAAACGTGGACAACCCTAATTTCTTCCCCCTCTTTCTCACTCTCCCTCTCTCATCTGCTATCTGCGAGACAGCAAGCACGACCATTCTCTCACTCTCGCCACCATAATCCCTCTCTCTCTCCGTCTCTTTGAGCCCTTGACGCGGAGTCGCCTTCCTTCCATCGACACCATCAACGACGCAGCCGAAACGAGAGCACAACAGGCAGCAGGGAAATCTTTTTGGAAGAAGAAGGCGTAGACCACTTAGCACTGAACCGTGAACTCTCTGAACTGGTGAAGTTGATTCGGCAGTCGGCGGAAGAAGAAGTTCATTCGGTCAGTAGAAGAAGGTGAAGCCAAAAAGCCCTTTCATTTCTCATTTCTTTTTATTTATTTAGTACAAATAAGATGGACCTGTACAACATCTTTGGAAGGCAGTTTAAGATGAGTTTAAGCAGTTTAACATATTTGAACGTCAGCCTTGAGCAAAATGAATTTATATAACTTGTTTGATTGCTCGAGCTTGAAGGGTTTGGATTTATCCATTTTAGTAGTTTTGCCGTCGGTTTTCCGTTAAATTTATAGTTTTCAAGATTTATTTCTATTGGGGACAATAATATGCAAGTAATTTTTTATCTTTGTTGTACATTATCAATACTGATTCTTTCTGCTTATGTTTGGTGCTTATATTTGGTGACAGTGATGAAAGTCAATGAAGTAGAAGTTACTCTTAACTGCAGGTGGTTATAATTATTTCTGAAGGTTCCTGTTCTCTTATTGTGTGTTTATAGGTTCCTCTGTATTGCATCTTATTCCTTATTCGGTTTTGCCAGTGGAGGAAGGATTTAAAACTTTGTGGTGAAGCTGCAGTTGAAAAAATCACTTTGGATGGTGTTTAAGGGCTGCGTACTATGATGTGTACATATAGAAATATACAGTCACTGTATATATAATTATTTTCTTGTAAACCAAGTTTATTCAATTCCATCGAGATCCCTTTATTCTTAGTGGATCTGAAGAAAATTGAAGGATCATAAAATATTTTGGTGGTCTGGGTTCAGAGTTTTACTTAGTGTGATTCAAATCTGAGCAAGTTACAAAAGTGTTCACTTTTTAGCAGAAAAACAAGATAATGACTTTCCTTCATAACTTCTAATGATTTGAGTTTGTGTTGGCTCAAATCTTTGCAAACTTGAAATTGTTTGACTATCTTGTAGAGGTGAGTGTTCCTTGAGAAAATAAATTTCTAAGTATGATTTCTTGCCTGATATGTTCTGGACTGTATAAAAGAAGCTCTTATGATGATTTTTAAATTGGGCTTTTAGTATCTGGTGTGTGGTTGAGCTTGAAATTGATCTGCATTTTATTAGGATGAAGTTAAAGATTGTTGTTTTATATATCAATCCACTTGCTATATAAATTGAAAATCAATTGATTTGATGAGGATATAATCACTTAGGTTGTGAAATTGAATTAGTTGTGTAATGACAGTATTAATGGTAGATTGCGTATAGTTCAGGAAAGATGAATAATTTTTTTTTATTTGAAAAAGAGCAGACTATGTTACCATGGCTATTTTGAGTATTGGACTCGAAATATTACCCACTGTATGCTGTTTGTAGTTTGCATTCAAGAATTTGGGTTTGATTTCAAATATTTGAGATGGAATCAAACTTAGAGGAAGCGCTCAGGTTTAAAGCAAATGCTGAGAAAAAGTTTGAAGAGAGAAATTTTGTCAGTGCAAGGAATTAAGCTTTAAAAACTCAGATGGAGGGCGTTTCTCAAATGGTGGCAACTTTTGGAGTTTACATTGCTTCAGAGGCAAAAATGGAGAATTTGATTTCTATTCAATTCTTGGAATGGATCCATCCCTAGACAAGTCTAAGTTGAAGAAACGGTACAAGAAGATGGCAATGTTGTTTCATCTCGATAAGAACAAAACTGTGGGTGCTGATGGAGAAAAGGTAATTGCTGAAGAGAGTTTTGAAGAATTACATAGTGTAGTTTTTGTATTTATATGCTAACTTGTTTTCTTTGATACAAGTAATTTTGTTTTTTCAAGTGTGTAAGAAGGATTTGTGATGACGAATTTATTACTCATTTTTATTGCATAAATAAATTTAACAATTAATCTGCAATGATTTTTATATATGTAAAGTAATATATAAATATATAACAATGTATGAGTATTTTTTTTTTAAAGATAGAAAAAGGTAATGTTCATTGAGCATTGCCAAAACCCTCTTTCGCAACATTCATTGAGCATTGCCAAAACCCTCTATCACAACGTTCACTAAACGTTAACAAAACCCTCATTCGCAACTTTTAGTGAATGTTGCCAAAACTCATTCGCAACGCTCAGAACCCTGATTTGCAACGTTCAATGAACGTTGCCAAAACTCTTCACTCTACGGCAACATATGAACCCACAATAGACATCTGAACGTTGCGATAGGTCTTTGACAACGTTTTTTGATCGTTGCAAAAGGTGATTTTTGGTGTAGTGGATTCTAATGCGAAAGATTGGGTATATTTAATGCTATTTTCCCCTTTATAAAAAGATTAAATAATGGTTTATTTAGGAACATTAAATCATAATTTCCCATATAAGTTTGATTTATTATTATCAATATGAGTTAGATTTATTATTGAAAATTGTTGTCACGCATATCTTAAAATCCTTTTATTAATTGTTGCGTCTGTGCCACAGACCAACCAATTTTAGAATCTGAAGGAAGATATTAAAAAGTAAATATGATTTTCTAAATCTCAGCATTTCATCGAAGTTTTATTACCACCATTTGCATTTTTATCAACGCAATGATTTATTCTCTGGACAAATTTCTTTTCGTTCCTCTCACTCGTAAGGTTCCCTTTTCAATTTTCATTTCTTCATTCTTTCATTCTATTTATTGCCATAATCATTTTTTGTTACAAATTATATATTTGGCGATCCCCTTTTATCCATTTGATTTTAGCATGTTTTTAATTCATTTGTATGACTTCAAATACATTCTTTTAATGATTTTGTTTTCTACCATTAGTTTTTCCACTAATGTATGAGATTTAAGTTATGATTTCCAATATTTCATTATGGGATGTTGAATTTCTTATATGGGAAAGAAATTGATTGCTTGGTTTAAATTATTTGTAGATGATTATGAATTTGAGTTGTCGATTTGAATTTGTTGTATGCATTTAGATGGTAGTTTGAATCTAGGATGGATTTAAATAATAAACTCGTCTTAAATTTTGTATTTGGTGATTAATCAAATTTTCAAATATTAGAAGTTATTACATTAATTTTATAATTTATTCAAGAGAAATTTGTTGCTCGATCTCCTTGCATTATCTCTAACAGTACCTTCGTCCCCATTTAAAATTTTGTGATTTGTATCAAACACCCTTTAAATGCTTCCAGCTCAAAATTTCCATTAATCCAACTGCAAAATTTAACAATCAGTGGATTGAAAACTAAATTTTTTCTTTTGTTATTTAAGACACAGAACTAGACCATATTAAGATTTAAAAATAAAAAAAGATTTTCTAATACCCAAATCTGTAGGGAAATCTCCCAATTAAATGATTTTGCACATACACTTAAGTTGCATTTGTCACACCAAATTAGACCAAATAAGGAATTTACTGTAAAACTGTAATAAATAGTGTTAGCTAGAAGGTCTTATGTTGAAGTAGGGTAGGTAATGTTATTATTTTCTTTTTCATTTTCATTATATTTTTATCTAGTTTAGCCCTTGTTTGTCACCCATTATTTGAAAAATTAAAGAGATTTGAATAGTATTTTTTGGAGAATGTGTAGTTAAAAGTAAAGAAACTTTATTGATTTGTATGTAAAATATTTTATTGTGTTAATATGTGATAGCAAATGATGCTGTAGCAAACAATTTAAAATTTTTAAAAATGACAAACAAGCACTTAATTCATGTTATACTCTTTATAGTGTAATAGCATTTTTTTGAATGAAAAATCTAAGATCACTATCTACATCAATCAATCATAACAACATTTACTTTCTATATATTATATTTTTATACCATTTAGAGCATATTTGTCTAACTTTTCTATAATTTGGAAGATCAAGAAATTGTGTGAATTAAAATTTACATAATTAGGAGTCCCATAGCTTCCAAATCAAAATATATAAATTATAAGCTGCAAGACGTATGGTTATTGATTCACATAAATAACATCTTATAGAAAGCATTTTTTTTCCCCTTTTTTCTTGTCAAACAAACCCTTACTTTGATGCATCAAAGGGAAGAACAAGAGAGTGGACAGGAGAAACAGGGAAAATATATATAATACATAGTTAAATGTGTGGGTTGGAACGTGACTGTAAACTCTCTCTCTCTCTCTCTCGCAAGATTCCATTCAGTCGCCGATCTTTCCAACTGTTTCAATATCCGTCCTCTCTCTAACACATACCATAATGTTCCCAGCATCCCAAGGTACGTCAAACAAAATATACTGTCCGCATATACATACACACATACATGAAGAGTGTTCGTATTCTTTATTTTTTTCCCTGTAAAATGTTTTTATCAGCTCTCTTGAATCTGTCAACATCTCCGGTATTGATCCTTTGAACTTCACATTTACTTATGTTCTGTGTACGAGTATTCTTGGGTGACAACACCCTGGATGTCCAGGGGGTTGTGGGGGGGGGGGGTTGTGTAGGGGTTGTCCAAGGGGTTTTAGCCTTTGTGTACTGGATTTTTTATGGAAAGACAGTTGAATTTATTTTTATTTTTATTTTTTTCATTTGAGATATCTGACTTGTGAGTTTATTTTTGTTCTTTTCTTTTTATTTTCCACTTTAGGAATTCTATTTTAACCTTCACCGCAATTGCAATCTTTCTGTGTACGGTGCCAACTCTGAATTCCCAGCTCACTTTCTGCTGTTTCAGCATTTGATGCAGAGACCCATGTATTGCCACAAATAGTTAAAACAAATTTTGCTTCTTGGATGCTGAGGGAATTATTCCAATAATTCCACTTGAATTTTTTACTAATTATTTTTAGAATATTTTTTGCTTTTTGAGTGATAATACCCTTATAAGAGTTATGGCGATGTCTGCACTGCATCATTGACTGGTTTTTGTTGACAGGTCTTGAGATTCTTCGTTTGAATTCTGGGTTCTTCTGAGTACATTGTGAAAAGGTAACTTTTCTTTTTATTTTTTTATTTTTATGGAAATTGGTTCTTCTTTCTTAGACTTCATCAATACCCCCGTAATAATTGAGGCTATAATAATAATGTAATCAAACTTTTAAATAGAAAGAGGTACATTTTTTTCACTTGATCCCCTTGTGTGAAAAGAAGTTCCCACTGTGAAAAGGTCATGATATCAAGCTCAGAACTTGTCTCTTGTGCACAATTTGTCTTTAAACAGTTCATAAACCTTATCATGTTTTGTCTGTACTTTTGTTAATACATTAGTAAGTACAAAGGGGAAGATATAATGATGATATTCCTTACAAGTCAGTATGATATTGAATCCCATACAAAAGATTGTTTTTATTTGACCCGTTTGGCACCCATTAATTTCTATTACATTACATTAAATTTTTTTTCTCCTATTTTCAATCACTCAATCTTTCATAAAATAATATTACAGGTAAATCGAAAATTTTTCCTTCTTTTTCAACCACTCATTTTTCAAAAAAATACTATTCCACCCATTTTCAATTTTACAAAATGGGAGCCAAACGAGGACCTTGAAATTGGTCTTCTACCCTTGATGAGTCGGATAAAAGCTTCATATTGTTGATGTGGTAAGAGGACATTACTTATGATTTTCTCCGATATTTCTTAAAAGCCAACATGATATTGAATCCGATATATAAGATCCTTTTTTTCTTGTTAAAATTGATCTAAGGCACTGCTTGATTTGGTGGGAATTGAGTTTTCAAGCCTTCTTTTTTTTTTTCCACAATTTAAACAAATTATATCCACAATTGTAATAAATTATGTTCCTTTAATTGACAATTTTTCATGGAAAACAAAGTCAAACGAACACCAAAAAATTCAAAATTTTAACATTTTCTAGGTGAAAAATTATACCTATCAAACACATTTAATTGACAATTCCCAGTAAAACAAGTTCTAGACAATTAATTTTCTGAAATTTATTTTCTTTCTAACCAAATTTTATTTTTGCAATCAAACAGATTCTAAGATTTTCTTACCATATCAGTAGTGAAAATTTTTTATCATGTCCACTGAGGACATGAGATCAGGGCTGTTCCTCTTGTTATGTTCCTTTGTCTTATAACCATCATCTCGTTCTTTTATATCTTTCGTTTTTTCCTGAGTGTTGGTTTTGTAAGTGGACATAATACTTGTATTGAGAGTGAATAACGGTAAAACTTTGGACTCTATTTGCAGCACAGGTTTGGATTCGATTGCTTGAAATGGAGGGTGATACAAAGTTGGATGGGAAGGCAGTGCAGACATTTCAGAAGAATTTTATTCAAGTCCAGAATATACTCGATCAGAATAGGGTGCTAATCAATGAAATTAATCGGAATCATGAGTCAAAGATTCCTGACAATTTAAGCAGAAATGTGGGACTGATCAGAGAACTCAACAACAATATCAGAAGAGTGGTTGATTTATATGGTCATCTGTCAACTTCTTTCACAAAATCTGTGGATGCTTCATCTGAGGGAGATTCAAATGGTCACAAAAGGGGTAGGCCTGCTTAGATTCATAGAAAGAAATGCAGTCCATTTCTCTGATCTTAATTCTTTTACTTGATGTCTTATTATTGTCTTGAAATCGCTTGTTACAAAATAATATTAGCTCCAAGTTACTCGAGCATGATTCGGTCATTGAATTTCTTGCTTTGTTCGTATTTTAGCATGAAGTTCTAATTTTTATTTTTATTTTCATTTTCGTATGCCCATTTTTAGCTTTTTGCAGTTTGCCAAAAGGCCAAGTCTCTGATGTGGATCTTCTCTAGTTTTCTTGATATGTCTCTTAATCCTTTCTTCTATTTTAGTGGAAACTCCTATTCAATTTTCAGCTTAGCCCAGAAAAATTATTCTTCCTTTGACTCTTTTCCCGTGAAAATTTAGTTCTCTCTCTTTTGCATTGAGAAAATTTGGCTAAATATATTTGGTACGCAGTGCTGTAATAAGATATTACTACTCTCCAATACTGGTGCCGTAACAAGATTTTTATTATACTGTCAAATACTGTAATGTATACATAACAAGAGGAGAAAATTAACACACATGGTAAATCTCTCTGCGAAGATGCTTGAAAGAAACAGCTTTAGATGATCTTTTCAGTTCCCCATCAAGCTTCACCACAAGAACAGAATCTCAGATAAGAGATAATTTTATTTTGACCAATTTTTTTCATACTTGCTGATGTTTTTGTTTGTTCCATCCAATGCAAATCTCGTGGGTGCCATTGATAGGGAAAGAAAATATAAAGAATTCAAATTGGGGAATAATCAATAAATAGCCGATATTTGTAGATAATATAAACAACCAGCAAGAAAACAAGGGCCCAATGGTTCACTTTTGGATGGAACTGAACTTATTCAGTACAACCTTATCTTTCTCTTAAGCTCTTTTTTGTTGCTTTTCCACTTTTTATTATTTGAATTTCTTAATAAAATTCTGATCTAAATCTACTTATCACCTAGTATTTAATAAAAATTTGAGCGTATTAATTTCAAGCAGCATAGCTTGTGATTAGCACACCTCACTGTCTAACAAAATTAAGATATATTTTCATTCATTATTAGATAATGAGGCCGTAGATCTCGCTTGTAGTTAAAGTAGTTCTGAGCCCTAATAGATGAGTGCAGAAAAATAATTTGTCCTCTCCTAGCTTTGCCCCTAAGTACCACATTAAATTATTAAGTTTAATGGCCCCGTGACAAACATGTTGATACATAGTTTAAACAAAATTCAAAGAAAAAAACTACACTGCTACAAAATTTTTGACACAACAAATACTCACATTATCATGGGACCTACATAAATATAATATTTCCAAAAAGAAGTGGGTCCTCCTCTTACTGTCAGTGTTCTGCAAGGTTATTGGTCACCAGTTCTCTGACAGTGTAACATTCTTCAAATTCAAATATCAAATGGTTGAACAAAATGAGATCTGCTTTATGGCCGAGGCACACGGATAGTCATAGAAAGTACTATGCAATAATCCCTAGTATTCTCTCTCTCTCTCTCTCTCCCTCCCCCCCCCCCCCCCCCCCCCCCCTCTCTTTTCTCTTTCTTTTAGTCACTGTTTTGCAATGAATGGCCTTTTATGAGTGGCTTCCATTTGAACTTTTTTCTTTTCTGTCATTGATTGTGTATATAGGTAACGTACCAAAGAAATTTTTTTTGTTAATTTATTGATCTTAGGAAAGAAAAATCATTGCTGGAAATGGTTTGTTTTTTCTGTTGATGCCATTTTCTTTATGTCTCTGCGATATCATCATATTGTTTTACCCTTTATTCGGATTTCGGCTATGACCTTTTATCTTTCCTTTCAAACCACCATGATCATCATTCTATTATTGATTTTGCGAAGATCTTTGTGTCATCCACCGAGTTTGTGGAGAACAACTTTCCAACGTTATGCATGCAACAAGTCGCAAAGTGAGTCATTCTTGGCCTGTGTTTAGATTATATTTGTAAACTGTTTATGATCGGTCAAATAATATTTTTTATCTACGTATTTAATGAGATGGTAATCTGGACGGACCTTATAGAAGTGCATATAGTCGAAGAGAGCTATCCCATCTTTGTTTGAAGAAGTATCTTTGGCAGAGAGCCAACGGCTTGTTTTTCCTTTTATTTATTTATTTTTTTTCGAAATTCATTTTCATTTATATTTTAAATCCAGATTGTTCAATCTTATTATAATGCTTTAATTTTCACTTTAATAGTTTATCATCTTTCAATCATAAGATGGATCGCCTTGCAAGCTCTTTCCTTCCACCTAATTTTCCCATTTCGCATTATTTTCATGCTTTTGAAGCACTGAAAATGTGTTTCGAGAAGAAGTTAGTAAGTTTATTTATATATTTTAGTTATTTTTAAGGTAAACTACTTTCACTCATCAATTGAAAAACATCAAATCTATATTATCCAAATACCAAAACACCTACTTCTATATTATTTGTCAGAGTTCGAAGATTAAGGAAGGTGATAAGAGTTCAGGTTGGAGGAGAACGAGTTCGTTCTTGGTCATCCACATGAAATAAACAATTCTAGAGTTTTGGAGCTAGTGCTGGAGCATGGAATCAAGGAGTTCCTTGGTAATTGCAAAGTGGAGGTTAGAGAATAGTAAGAGTTAATCAAGTCTAGACCATACTGTAAGTTTTATCATTTGTAGTGATTTTATTGGATTGTCCTTGGAGTATTTTAATCCCGCAAGGTATTTTTCTCCATCATCAATTCATTGATGTTATTTATTTTCTACAAATTATACCTAGCTAAACTAATTAAGTAGGTATAGGTTTGCATGTGAATTCATTTGGATTAAATATTTACCATGACTTGTTGCATTAAATATTGGTAAATTTAAATTCCGCATAAAATATCTATTCACCCCCCCAACCCCCTCTAGGTGTTGAGTCAAACTACGATATTTCGAAGAGCATGATAGAGATTAGTGCTATGCGGACATCGTATAGGGAGACATCGAGGAAAGTAGTAAGAGTTCATAATATTGATGTCATTCAATGTTATCTTCAAATGGATACTTCGACAAAGAATATTGATAACCTTACTTAGACAGTTCACATGGTGCGCAACCATACTTCGATTTGAGGCATACGAGGCAAAACATTAGATAGCCAGTTGTCTTTTAGCGTCTACTCCAATTTCCAACTCCGAGGAGATAATCTATGTGATCACGAAAAATATATTTCGATTTAAATCCGCAAGTGCACACTTTGTAATAAGTAATAAAGTGGAAAATTGAGTCCGAATGTCGTCTCACAGAGATTGAGTAGTTTAATTTTACCTAACTCGACCTTAACTGAAATTGATTTGTCAAAGCTGATTTGTTGTAACTTAAATTAATCCTAACTTAAACTAAATATGCAAATATATATGAATCGAATGAACTAAAATGCAAAATGGATGTTTGAACGCAAATTTATGTAATCAATGAATATAAAGCGGACTAAGACCACAAATCCCCAAGCAATGCTCACTTTTAACCCTAGTTCCACAATTTGAAAACACATTGAAATGTTGAAGAATCAATGTTCCTAAGTCTATCCAACAATCTCTCTCGAGTAATGTTGAACATACTCTCATATACCACTAGCCTATATCTCTATGACGAATGTAAATTTACAAGAATCCATGTGATTTTGTGAATGCTTAAAGATTCATGCAAGGCATAGAGGTTTATCTTTATCCCCTATACGGTTATATATACCCTGTCAAACTTATTCCCCTTCTTTCGAATGCATGAAATAAACCTCACTACACTCATACAATTACGTGCACATAATCATGAAAGAAATTAATTGTATATAAACCATACAAAAATTCCATAATGTGTTTCGATGTCAATATTGTAAAATAAGAAATAAAAAATTTACATTAAAAAGTTCATCGATCTCCTAGTACATAAAAATCTAGCCTAGCATGGAGAAACTAACAAAATACACAAAAATTTTAAGACAGGGCATCATCGGTGTAAGAATTGGCGTGTAATCCTGTTGACCTTCACGTTTCTCTTCATTATTGTGGTGCAAAATCACCTCCAAGATGTGATATTTTCTTCTCCTCCCTTTAGGGACGGCCCCAGGGTTTTAAAATACTTTCTAACATTTGTTCCCATAAAAATTTCAGTCAGTATAGGAAATCATAATTTTTTCACCGTGATTACCCAGGTAAAACTTGGGCAGTTGCCCAGGCTAAAGTTTTTATCTCAGTAATTGTTCCTTGATGTTGGGTAGTCTCCCACTCTAAATAACTAGGCAATCGTCCAGTTATAAAAGCTCCCAAATGTTGCATTTTGATCCCCAAATTTAGTTCTCGATTCTTTCACATCGTCGTTTCTACTTTCGGTTCATCTTTTGGCTGTTTGCACTTTGGTCCTCGAACTTTCGTTTTCTTCCATCTTGTTCATTTTTCTTCTCTTCTCTCTTGAATTCTGCCATATCCATCAATATATTCCTATAAAACGAAATTATATAGAATTAAGCCATAATCCAAATGCTTTGATCAACAATTAGTCATGTTTTGTAGACCAAAATAGTGTATAAAAATGTACTTATCAAACCTCCAAACTTGAACTATTGTTTGTCCTCAAACAAGATAGTGACTTAACTATACGCAAAACATGGCTTGACAACTTGCTGTGTCTCAGGATTGGAATTCAATAATCATCATAATAAATAGTTTCAATAGTGCAAGATTAAAATCAACCCTTACCTGTCAGATGCAAAACTCAACATGTGTGTGTGAACTCATGTCAACATATAAAACTTATGATTGGTTTATCCCCGACCCATGGTAGTCAAATATATCCTTTCCCCGCTCGAGAAATGCACACCCCCAAACTTATTCCTTTCCCTCAATCATCGTAGGGTGTGTTCTGAAGTTAGGAGTTTAAATAACTGCAATCCTTTCCCTTTCTTTCCATGGGTAGGTTTCACTATTACAAGATCACATGTCAACAAGTAGAGGCTCTCCTAATTTGATTGCTTCAACATTTAGATTGAACAAATCTACTAGCCTCGTATCAAAGGTATAGTTTTATCAACCAAATGTACAAGGGCTTCCTTCATGTTATTGTGTCTTTTATTTACTTATTTATAGATTTCTCCTTTTTTTTAAATTGTCATCTCTCATTTGCTTTCTACATAACCCCTGTAGCGAGTTTTAG